AAAAAATAATAATGAAAGGAAATTTAGGAATTTCTTGTGTTTCCATCTATTTTTAGCCAAACCAAAAAAGAAAAAAAGAGAGAAAAGAATAGTAACAAAATAATTTAAATTAGTAGCAACAATTTATTAGTTTAAGTAAAAAAATTTAATTTTTTTAAATAAGATTTTGGAGTTTAAATTTTATAAATAAAAAAATGAATATTAAGATAGTTTTTTTATGAGGTTGAACTTAATTTTAACTTTTTTTGGTATTAATCTTTTAGTATTCAAAAATCACATTAGCTTTTAATTAATTCGAAATCAAGTCGAGTTGGACCTCACATAGGGAGAAGTTCTTCCAACACTTATTTTTTTATTCACAAAATTTGAATTCAAAATTTTATTTAAGGAAAGTAAAACTCATTTTACTCGAATCAATAAGTTATTAGTAACTTAATTTTAACTTTGAATTAATATAAGTTAACTGTATTTTTAAATATGAGAAGATTTAGGCCAAAAAAAGTTCTAAACTAGTAGTTTCTTGAAGCCAAAAAGGTTTTCATTCATAAAAAAATATGGTAGTATTAAAAAAATGAATTCATTCGTGATGTATGCTATATAACTTTTTTTTTTTTCAAAGAAATAATCTAATAGGATAGGAGCATGCGGTACTACTGTACTAGTGCATAAACCAAAAATCGAAATGTGGCCCTACATTTCTTAATTAATTTATTTTACAGAATTGACCCACAAATTTCTCTAAATGTCTATTAGTTTAGAGTTTTTTTTTTTTTTGCCAAAGTCCCTATTTGCACCCTCCATTTATTTCTTTTCCGCGGTCAACACCTTTCAAAATTTTTCCTCCCTATTAACACCTTCCATTTTTCAAAACCCGTGAAAAATCTAATATTTTAACGGGCCATCACGACACCGTTAATAACCGTTAAAAATTGTAATACGTGGCATTAAACAGTAACATAATCCAATGTGGACTTTTTTTAATGATATGGCATAATTAATCCATAATTAATTTTAATTTTTTCATTTTCTTCTTTCCCGCATCATCTTTACCATCTTCCTCTTCATCCTCCTGGGTTCCTCATGGAACCAGAAACCCAGAACTTTGTCACATTTATTAATCCAATGTTGGACATTTTTTTATATGTGTTATAATTAAATTATCATTAATTTTAATTTCTTCATTTTCTTCTTTCTCAGCATCATCTTCACTAGCATCATCTTTACCGTTCTCGTCCTCATCCCCCTAGGTTCTGAGTTTTTCGTGGAACCTAATTTCAGATGAATGCCTACCAAGCTAAAAAAACAATTTGGAAACAATCTCCAAGCAAAAAAACTCACCTTGCTTTGCATAAAATTCAAATTGACAACCTATTCAGAAACAATCTCCAAGCAAAAAAACTCATATTTCCAACAAAAAAATTATTCCAAATTGCTTTGCATAAAATCGGAAGCTAAGATAAATACATTTAAAATAAAAAAATCAAAAAAAAAAAAAGTTGGAACTGGGTTCTCACGAGGATGGTGAAGATGATGCCGAGGATGAGGGGAGAAAGAAAAAAAAATGCAATTTATGTAATTGTTTGGTAATATTATAATTTTTTATTATTTTTTTTGTATACGTGGCGTCCACGTTGAATTATTAACGTTATGTAGTG